TCTGTTCTTTTCAGGATCTGTTTGGTGGCTGCAGAGTTGGAGTGGAATTTCAGTTGGAAACATGTGGGGATTAGATTTTGATCTCGGCAGTTGCATAGGAATGCGAGGTCGCATAAAATGGAAGCTCTTTGGACTTCAAGTTTTTCATAGGTCCTGATCAGATGGTGGATTTCCTCCCCGTAGAGGTTCGATATTTGTTTTCTGAGGTTTTCGCGGGTGTTTGTATGTAGGTCTTTGGTTGTTCGGGTTTTCTCCCGCGTAAAATTGGAAGTGTCTTGGCGACATTTCGACAAAGTCCCATTCGTCATCTTCAGGCTGGTGCTTTCAGCTTTGTGCTTCGAGGAGCAGTGTGTGGTCTTAGCTGTTTCTTCCTTTTAACTGCCAGTGGCGGTATGAACTGATTGGGTGGGAGCTTGGCTGTGTTCTGATTGGGTGGAGGTGTGTTCTGATTGGTTAGGGGCGTGGCTATGCTCTGATTGGCACAGCTCTATGGTCTCCCCAAGATACACAAAGAAGGAACCCCACTCAGACCTATAGTCAGCTCCATAGGCTCACCTCTACAAAACCTAGCCAAATTTCTCGCCAAACAACTATAGCCCTATGCAGAATCCATCACCTCACACGTAAAAAACTCATTCCAGTTTATAGAGATCATAAAGAAACAAAACTTACAGCCCAGCGACCTACTTGTGAGCTTCGATGGTATATCCCTCTTCACCCAAGTGTATCAAAGAAGCCTTGACAGCTATCCAAAACAAATATAACCCCCCCAAACACATCTTAGATCTGACCAACCACTGCCTATCCAACACATACTTCATCTATAATGGATAAAAATACAAACAAACAGAAGGAGCACCCATGGGATCACCCCTCTCACCTGTCATTGCAAACCTCTACATGGAACACTTTGAAACCCAAGCTCTAGAAAAATTGGATCACAAACCCAAACTCTGGCTCAGATACGTAGACGACACCTTCATAATCTGGCCACATGGGAAAGAAAAACTGGACAACTTCCTCACACACCTCAACAGCCTACACCCCAAAATACAGTCACCATGGAAACAGAAGCTAACAACCAACTTCCCTTCCTGGATGTCTTAGTCTACAAGAAATCCAATGGCTCCCTAGGACATACCATCTACCAGAAGAAAACACACACAAACCGCTATCTGCACGCTCTCTCACACCACCACCCAGCACAGATCAACTCCGTAGCCAAGACACTCATCTCCAGAACAAAACACTTAGCTGACGAACAACACCTAAAAACCGAACTACACACTCTCACCAATGTACTAACATCCAATGGATTCCAAAGAAATAAGATTACAAACCTAATCCAAAAAGAAACCCCCACTAAAATCCAAGACAAAGAACAAGAAAACGGCAAAGCCCTCCTCCCATACATAAAAGGCACCACAGACAGAATCAGTAAGATCCTCCATAAACACAACATCAAAACAGCATTCTGCACAAACAGAAAAATATCCACCATCCTTAGAAACCCCAAAGATAAAATTGACTTAGAAAATCAAGGAATATATGAAATCCCATGCACTGCTTGTCCCAACACATACATCGGACAAACCAACAGAAGAATAAGTGCACGCATTGAAGAACATAAGAACTCAGTCAAAAAAGAGGAACCAACATCTTCCCTGGTCCAACACCTTAAAGCCACAGGACATGAAATTGACTTTAAAAATACCAGAACCATTGCCAAAAGTGAACATTTTAATAACAGAATAATCAGAGAAGCCATCGAAATAGAAAAACGCCCACACAGCATGAACAAGCAAGATGATACCTCCCGCCTACCAGCCATTTGGAAACCCGCCCTTATTGACAAACGACTCCCTAACACAAAAAATGATACCAGATCCACACTCATAAAAACCACACAGGATGTCACCATCACACATCCACGCAAAAAGCAAACCCAAAGCCACACCGATGATGAGGCACAACCACAAACCAGAAGCCAGACCACAGCTGCATCATTAGCCACTTTAAACCCCTCCAGTCCATACATGAAGCAAACTGACACCCTCCATGAAGATGAGGCACGACCACGCACGCGAAGCCAAAAAAATAGCAAGGCAGCCCAAAATCTTAAACCGCCCTGCATCTCAGACTAACCTGAGCACAACCAAACAGAACACTCCCCCAGCCAATCAGAGCACAGCCAACCCCCCAGCCAATCAGAGCACAGCCATGCCCCTAACCAATCAGAACACACCTCCACCCAATCAGAACACAGCCAAGCTCCCACCCAATCAGTTCATACCCCCACTGGCAGTTAAAAGGAAGAAACAGCTAAGACCACACACTGCTCCTCGAAGCACGAAGCTGAAAGCACCAGCCTGAAGATGACAAATGGGACTTCATCGAAACGTCGCCAAGACACTTCCAATTTTACGCGGGAGAAAACCCGAACAACCAAAGACCTACATACAAACACCCGCGAAATCTTTATTCATAATGACAGTGGTCTATAATTACTTATTAGAGTTAGATCGTGCCCCTCTTTAGGGATTAATGCTACATTAGCCTCTTTCCACGTCTTTGGCATCTTTCCTCCCTGTAAAATAGAATTTATGTTTTGGAGGGGTGGTAAAAGTTCATCCTCGGAGGATTTGCAATAGGAATCTGATAATCCATCTGGTCCAACTACTTTTCCTGGATTAATCTTTTTTATGACTTCAGAAACTTATTTTTATGGGAACATAACCTGTTTTTGCTTCTCTGTAAGCCTTGCTAAATCTTTGTTTTCCAAGTATTCATCTATTTTCCAAAGAAATATCATGTCATTTACACAAATTAGAATAATAGTGAGGAAATGTTTTCTATATAACTGCATTGTCCATTAATATAGTATCTCTTTCTTCAAGTTTCAAAATCATTTCCTTTTCTTTCTCTTTTCTTAGTTTACATGCTAGCCATTTCCTTGGTTTATTTGCCAATTCAAAATTCTTTTGCTTTGTATAGCTCATTTTTATTTTCATTTCTCTTGCTGTTAACATTGATAATTGTTGCTTTAAAAGTTTGATTTTATGTGCAGTGCTTAACGTTTCTGGCAAATTCTCTTTTCTTTTTATCACATCCAAAATAGCCTGTTTTCTCTTGGATCTTTTTAAGATTAGTAAAATAATTTGTGATGAAAGTTTTCTTGTATCCCAAATCATTCTTAAATTAATAACTTTATTTCAGTTATTTATAAAAACTTTCTACCTGCAATCTTCTACTCTTTTTGTAATAGCTTCTTTTTAATTTCCATCTGAAAGGTAGATATCCTTTTATCAACCAAACTCACAGGATTATGATCAGAAAAAGTCTTTGGTAACATCTCAGCTTTAGAAATCATAGCCAAGTTAACTTGTTTATATCTTCAGACATTTGTTTTATAGAATTTTCCATCTTATCGAGCCTTTCGTCCATTTTTTTTCAGGGGCTATTAATCTGAATTCAAGTGACTGAGCCAATTTAGCATTTTCTGAAGTAAATTTAAATTGTTTTATTATCTTTCTTGACCAGCTGTTCCAAGGAAACTCTTCTACTCTAATCTTGCAGCCCATATGTTAAGCACAAAGAATTAGGACCATAGGTTAAATTGCAGTTCAGAAGATGTATTACTCAATCCTATACATAAGAATAATCTAATCAACTGAAGTTCAGTACTAAATTGGGTGCCAGATAAGGGTCAACAGAATTCAAGAGAGGTTGGACTAGACCATTTGTGAGAAGGTAATGATTCTAAGCTAATGACTTGTTTAATTCCACCCCCAGCTCTGCCTGTTCTTCTATATTCTTACTTAAAAATGAAAATGCTAAACAGAGGAGAAGATCAACACAAATTTCATTCACTCTTTTTTAAAGCTGTAATTGTAGACACACGTCATATTTGCATCTCCAAGGTTACCATCTAGAACTCAGTCTATTCAAATTATCTTCATAGATTGTTTTGTAAATTCAATCAGTTATTGGGAGTCTTTTAGTGCAAAGCAAGAAGCATTCCCAGAAAAGGTCTGAGTCAATTGTTTAATCCAGATAGGATTTTGGCAATCAGTTTCGTAGAAAAATTAATCTTTTGCAAATAACTTTCCCCTTCATCCAGTTTAAAGTTATTTATATCATCTCTTGTTAAGCTGTCTGCCAAAAATCAAATACTTACCAAGATAATTCTTATGTGTTGTAAAAGGGAATCTCTCTCAGACTGTACAATAAATACATCAAAATTTGATTAAGAAATGCAGGTTGACTGTTTTTTTGTCCATATTGGCTGTACCATAGCTGTGAACATAGATGGAATCCCATACCTCCCAACTACTCAACTCGCAAGCAAACTGCAAAAACTTTCAGTTTTACAGTTAACTTATAGGAGCATCTGTCCAGGGTTATTTCACATTCCCTTCTTTGTCTGGAGAGAATTTGGTGCCTCCAGGTTCTGATCTCTGCTGTAATACTGTCCTTGCTCTCTGAAGATGATTGAACCACTTTTAATCCTTATCAGAAACTGTACTGCATCTTTTAGTATGCCTGTTTATGAAGTCTTGTGAAAGTCATCAAGTTTCAGGATTATGTTGTTAGACTGTTAGGGCTGCAGCAGCTCACTGTGTGTTACTGAAGTATAACCTCATGTTACAGAAATGCAAAACACAGTTTTGCTTTGCAGAAGCAATGGCTAAGAAGAGAATTCTCTACTTTCAAAGTAGATGTTGAAATAAAAGGTTGTACCAGATACCATACATGGGCATGACCAGCACAACTCATTTGTGGTGTTGTTGTTTTAATAAGGCTACCTGAGGCAATTGAATAAGAAGTATGGAAGTTATGCCCTATGAAATGCATTAAAATCCAGTGAGGGATGGCAACCAGAGTTGTTTTCCAAGCTTATAGATTTATGTGCCCAACCGTCTCTTGTCCGTGGATCCTCTGCAGTGGCTATTGGGATGTAGTAATGAGCACAGTGAAGTCACTCCAATGATCTCCTACAGTTTTTCTCCAGACCTTGCCTTGGATTCCCCTGGCACCGATCATTTCGTCATCATAGCCCAGCTGAAGGAAGAAGTCGCCACTTTGAAGAAAATGCTGCACCAGAAGGATCAGATGATCCTAGAGAAAGAAAAAAAGGTAACACCTTGAAGCTCCTTGATGGGATGCTTTGTTTCAAAGCAGACTCTCCTATATTGCTCACTGCATTGTTCACCCAGTATTGCTTGAAGAGGAGGGGTCAGGATCTAACACCTTAATGAGACTCTAAGCCAGTGTTTCTCAACTTTAGCAAATATAGCTGAAGTCCAGACATCTTAAAGTTGCAAAGGCCGAGAAACACTGCTGTAAGCCCAGAACTGCTGTGGGAGTGAACCCATACTGTCTTTTCAGAGTTTGCATTTGAAAGTGATCTATGAAATATTGGCTCTGTTGAGTATAACTTCATACTCATTGATCTGAGAAAAGCAAAGAAAAATAATCCATTTCTTTTTCTGAGTATTTTTTAAAACATACAGCCTCCTTCCCAACCAGCAATTAAAACAATGTCAACTTATCCGTCTGTCTGTCTGTCTATCTATCTATCTATCTATCTATCTATCTATCTATCTATCTATCTATCTATCTATCTATCTATCTATCATTAAAATGATAAACATTAAAAATCCAGCACCAAAGTTAAATTTTCACATGCATTCCATCACTACGTCCTCTCATCAGTCTCACACTGTTCCACACTTGGATGACTAGGAGTGGGGGGGGGGGCTGCCAAAATTCAGGAGAAAGGTGTTCTTTAGGACAGGGACTATCAGAGAAAAATCACACTTCCTAAACCCCGTAAGATGGCAACATTTAAGGGAAGGGAATAGAAGCCTGCCCATCCTATTTGACCTGATAAGACAGGTGAATGTCCTTAGAGCAGTGGTTCTCAACGTTTATGTGACGGCGACCCCCGTCACACAAACGTGCCGGCACCCCCTGAGGGGGAAAAATGGCGGATCACCTTGTTTGGCGACCCCCGAGAAATGGTCGATCGACCCCAAATGGGGTCGCGACCCATAGGTTGAGAACCAATGCCTTAGAGAGAGGCAGTCCTGCAGATTACCTGGCTCTCTGCCATGTAGGGTTTAAAAGTAATAGCCAACACCTTGAATTCCACCCAGAATAAAATTTGGAACCAGTGCAGCTTGCTCAACAGAGGTGTTGGAGGTCTATAGTGGCCATGAACTCCTGCACTACCTCAGATCCCAGGCCCAGAGAAGGCAGATTCAAGTCCCAGAACCATAAACCTGGGGAACTCCACTGCTTGCCCAGTCACAGTCCAGGAACACAGGCAGGGATGCTGCTACAGTGCAGGGAGGAAAGTAAGTGAGCAGCAATCCCCACTGATCCCTATGGGCCAACCTGACAAAGAAGGTCTCACATCCCGCAATCTCTTGGGGCCAGTGACAACAGCCACACCCTCACCTGGCCCTAGAATCATGGTTGGTGCCAGGCTTGAAACCTAGGAGGGCACGTTTCTGGGAGGGGAACTCTCCTTTGATGTCTTTGTTTCCTTTCTTCTATCATTTTTATTACTATTGTATCTTTTAAACTGTTCTACATTGTTGCCAAGAAAACAATACGGGGCTTGTCCATAAATCTACCTGGAGTCTAGCTTCATTGGAAGTTAATTTTATCTTTTCCCTGTTTCCTCTTAAATCATCACTTTGAATTAGCTGATTGGAATGATTGATGAGATCACGGCATGGAAAAAAGAATATGATTGAGCAGGCAAGATAAGTAATCTTGTTTGAGGTTTAAAGCTGGAACTTATTGGTAGATAAGTAAAGGACTGGTTTGTATTTTGTCAGTTCTCTTCTATGGGGTAAAAATATGGACAGGGATCAAAATGACAATCAGAGAAATAGAAACCTTTGAAATTTCAGGTTGCAAAAGATGACCAAAACTATCTCATTTTGAACATGGCAAAATGAGATGGTCCTCCATAGTATGGGAAAGATGAAGAAATTGTTAATAACATTCAAAAATAAATAGGAATATTTAGGACATATAATATACCACAAAAATTCCCGGTCTGTCTGTCTCTCTCTCACATTGCAATCACAAACCCCAAACATAATGCATAGCTTCAAGCCCTAAAAGCTTCTCAGAAAAGTTGTATCTTCAGCTTTTTCTGGAAGATAATGTTGGAGATAGACGAATCTCCAGTGGCTGATGATTCCAGAGGTCCTGCCCCATCACAGAAAAACAACACTTCTGGGCTGTTCCTGCATCCACCCCCCAAAAAACCCTCCCAAAATGGGGACAACCAGCTGCTTGTCCCAGCATGAAGTATCAGGCTGACTTGAGCTAGGATATATGGTCCTACAGATTACCAGGCACCAATAATCCATAAAGGGGTTTAGAGTCATGGGAGATGCAGCACTCAAAAATGACACATATTCTGGCTGAAAGACATATCTGCATGGTTTGGCAAAAAAAAAAAAAAAAAGCAATGTTCTTCTTTTGGACAGTAACCCAAAGTAACAAATACTGCTGATAGTCACCAGTGTCCAATAGAAGATAATATATGATTTTTCTGAGGTTCTCTTCTCCCTCTCCCTCTCCCTCTCCTTTTAAAAAAAAAAATAGTGCCATTATTTCACTGGATATTTAGTAGGATGTGACTCCAGTGCTGGAATATTTTATTTATTTGAAAAATTATTTATTATAACAAAATACACATGCAACATCAATGTAGCCATTTCTTTATCTCTTGTTACTTGTTAACTTTTTTTGTGCATGCTCAAATACTGTGAACTCCCATGTATATGCACATATTTCACGGATGCACCACCCAAGGACGGAGGCAGTATTCAGCTCTCTGAAAATGATAACAAAACGACTTATTTTTTCTCTCTCACTCCAAAATATAGATTAGGGAAATGGAAGTAAGGTACCTTTGGGAGGCAAACCAATCCAAATTCCACCTTTTTTACTCTTCTGTCATCACGTATTAGGTTTATAATTATTTCTTTTGGAGATTGTGTGGAGCAGGTGGCCAGCTTTAGATTTCTGGGTGTTATCATAAAGGAGAACCTATTTCTTGAGACTTTTCAGGAAACAACAACTGAATGAAAAACTGCTGGTGACCTTCTATTGTTGCTCCATAGAGAGCATTCCAACCTATTGCATTTGTGTGTGGTTTGCTTGCTGCACAGTAGCAGATAGGAAAGCACCCCAGAGGGTCATTACCATTGCCCAGAGGATTATTGGCTGCCCACCCCCCCTCCCCCGGATGAACTGTACAGTTCCCATTGTCTTAGGAAAGCTCAAAATATTCTTAAAGACTCATCCTGGACATTCTTTTTTTGAACTATTACCATCTGGCAGACGGTACAGGATAATAAAAACAAAGACAAATAGGTTGAAAAATAGTTTTTATCCCAGAGCTGTAACCATATTAAATACCACTGTATAGTGCAGTGATGGCAAACCTTTTAAAAACCAAGTGCCCAAACTACAACCCAAAACCCACTTATGCATCGTCGGATGCTGGGTGGGTGTGGCCCATTGGGTGGGTGTGGCTGCAGTGGTAACGGCAGACTGGGTGGGACTAAAAAGTTCAATCAATCAGTTCCAACTTTGCAAAGATCTTTTTTTTTCCTGCAAGAAGTTGAAATTGATTGAACTTTTTTTTTTTTTTTGCACATGGCAGCAGAGGCCTAAAGCGAAAAGGTTTTATAAAACCCCGCTGAAGGCCTAGGACTGGGGTGACGGCGCACATGCCCACAGAGAGGGCTCCGAGTGCCGCCTCTGGCACCCATGCCATAGGTTCGCCACCACTGGTATAGTGCAACATTGAAGTGCAATATTAGGGGCAGTGCAATGGTGAATAGAATGTGAAGGATGTGTGTATTTAACGTATGTTCTTATTTGTGGCTTTTACTTGTGTATGGTGTGCACTGAGGACAGCACTTAATTTCGTTGTGAGTTACACAATGATAATAAAGATTATTCTATTCTATTCTATTCTATTCTATTCTAAAAGCTTAAGTCCATTGTTCTCAATAGGGTGGTAGTAGTAAAAGAGACAAGGAAATGGCTTGTGTTCTACCAGCATGAAAGATGTCAGAAGGGAACCCGCGTAGCTAAGTACAGTACCTGTTTCAGTTTTCCAGCAAAATATATTAGGAGGTTAATAAAACCACCTCCTGTCATTCTTCAGCCCGGAACTGACAGTCTGTTCCCCTGGAGGTGGGGGATGAAGCATTATATCAGATCACTTCAGTGCAAATGCACCTCAGCAGCCCTATTTTGTTTGTTCTGGTTTGCAGATAACAGAACTGAAGGCTGACTTGCAGTACCAGGAATCCCAAATGCGGGTGAAAATGAACCAGATGGAAAAAACTCACAAAGAAGTTACAGAACAGTTGCAGGTAACCTTGATTTCATTTGGCCTTTTTACGAGTGTTCACAAAATTCATTAGACTTGATTGCTACATAGTGCTGTGCCAAAATGTGTTGTCTTTTCCCCCCCTCAGTTTTGGCTTGCGTGAACCCAACCATTGTGGTTTATTATATGCCATGTTATGAAAATGTTTCCAGTCTCTGCAGCTCAAGGGTGTGGACTTCAACTCCCAGAATTCCCCAGCCAGCATGGACTTCTCCCTGCAGTCACCAGGAATCAGGATCCAATTTGGGTCAATCACCAGGACCAGAGGTTTAATCTTCTGAGCTTTGGACTTTTGCTGGAGTCCATCCTCAGAAAACCTTTCTCTCACCAGAATGAGAGGTTCCCCGAGGATGGGATCTAGCATGAGTTCAAAAACTCAGAAGACTAAATCTCTGGATCCAGATTGGATCCTGCAACATTATCCTGGGACATATATATTTGCTTTCATTCATCAGGAACCAGATTTGATTCAAGGGACCATAGCAATGTTAAAGAAACCACGGATTAGCAGTGTGCAGATCCAGCCATTTTGGTTTACTCCACGATTTAGCATACTGAAATGTACATTTTATTCACACCTCTCTCTCTCCCTGCAGGCCAAGAACCGAGAGCTCCTGAAACAAGCTGCAGCTTTATCCAAGGGCAAAAAATCTGAGAAATCAGGAGCAATAACTTCCCCTTAAACTCAGGAGATCTCTTGCCCCAAGATGTCTCCCATGGTTCAAGAACCACACCTGGATTGCTACTCGTACGGACATGACAAAATCCTTCGAGATTGGCTATTCCACAGAGTGTGCCAGTGCTGGTTTATAAAATCTCCTCCTCCTGTCACAGGACAGTGATGAGAATGATTGGGAGGCTTGGTCCTCCTGTCTTCCAGACTCATGAACAAGCCCTTTTTAATTTAGCCATTTCTCTCCGACCATTTTTACCATCACTGCCTTGGGATTGATGAAGCAAGAGGGCTGCTTGCTGATCGGACCTTCTTCAGGATTCTGCTTTTCTACTTCACAGGAGACCTAAAGTGGCCAGAGCCTGTTTTAAAAGAATTTCTAAAGCATTTTAAAATGAAAATTCTGCTTATTTTCCCTCAGTTGTTGAGGACAGCTTGAGACCTTTTCTCTCAGGTTTGTAAATTGAGAATCAAGTTTCAACCAGCAATTCTTGAGCTTCTAAAAATTCAAGAGTTTTTTGGCAAAATAGTTGAATATATACTCATATGGAGGACCAGAGGTTATGAATTAATGTTTTGCTCATGTTTTTATGTTTCTTTAGGTAGCACTTTTTTAGGCTGGCTAAACAGCTTTTTGTCATTGATATGTTGAGAGTGATATCAGGAATCAGAAGTAGGCTAAAACTACTTTTCAGGTACATGAAAAGTGAATGGGTGATGAATTCAATTAGTAACAAGTATACAACTATGCAGCTTTTCTTAATAAAAACAAAACAACCATTCTGACTTCCTTGGCAACAGGATAAAGGGAATTGGGGGGAAATGCTGAAACTAGAGGACAAAGATTTTCTGGAATCTTGATCTAAAAGAAAAAGACACCCTCCAGTCAGGTTTTATGTGGCTTGCAAGAAAATGAGATGGCTTTAAGTGCTGGGAGAGCACTCTAATGCCTGTGAACATAGAGATGAAAAGAATTCAGTGACTTTTTCAACTCTGGCCCTCGTGAACTTCCTGGGAAATGGTAAGTTTCCAAAAGCAATGAGAAACTAGTTTGTTTTCAATTTGCTCCAGGCTAAACTGGGGGGGGGGAGAGAGAAGGGGTGTGTGTGAAGAAAATCATTGCAAAGAAATCCTCACTCAGCAATTTGAGATGAGAAAATCACCTTTTTTTATATAAGAGAAGAAACCTGCTGCTGCTGTTGAGTTTCTGGTGATTATCTTTAAGAAAAAAGGAAGACAACCTTGAATGTGGAAGTGTGCAGAAATTGATACTGCACTGCAGGTTGTTTATTTTTTTAATCTTTTGCTCTTTTTGGTAAGAACCCATTGCCTAAGAAAGAGCATACTAAATAGAACCTAGTTTTTATACCTAATATATTTTTAGAAAGAATTGATTCATAGATATTTAAGTAGATTGTTTTCTAGCAATCTCCCCCTCCCCCCCCCACCTCCCAATTAAGAGATAGTGATATTTCTGGAACAATCTAGGTGTTGTTTTTTTCCCTTCATTGTGACAGTTCAATCATGCATTAAAGTGGGTGCTTTACCGTGATGTTCTTTCTGAAATGTATTGTTGATTTGTACAAAAGACATGCTAAAATATGCATCTGGGGGAAGGGGGAATCTTACAGCAGCTTTTTGTTTGGATATTTTGTGTATGCCTTTCTGGGTTGATTCAGCCAAAATAAGCTTTATTTTCTTTCTCTCTGAACTTGGGCTTGGTTTAGCATTGCTGTCCTCATGAAGCACAAAGAGCTTCGGTGCTAGGGTGGAATTCACTATCTGTAGCAAATTAAACATTATTTTTTCATAATTAGGATTTATTGTTCAGTGTGTCTTCTTAAATCTTCTTTCTCTTTCTCTGTAACGGTTTTATTGCTTTAAAATGGCAAAAGCTTCTTGCGATTTTAATAGACTGAATTGCTTTCTACCTGCACTACGGTTGAAAAGTCTCTCAGTTTGGCTTATGAAGATGACATTTCCTGATCAGCATCTTACCACCCCATCCCCAAGCTCGGAGTGATGTTGCATGAATTAAGTGGCTAGGAGGACATAAATGACAGTGCCTTAGGGAAATCCATACCCTCATTGCCTTACTCCTTCAGGAGGTCCATCACAGATAAGTAGATGTCCCCACCTTCGCCAACTCAATGATGAAGAAAAATGTGTGATATGGCGGACTCTGGGATCCGTCAAAAGGAAATTATATATTCGTAGATTGATTATAGGTTAGTAGTAACAGTTATTTGTTCTTAGTCAAGCAGGTGATTGATTGCACAGAGACTACTTTGGTTGAGGTCAGAAAACCTAGGCAGAGATATAATTTGATGGGAGATGGAGACCATCCCAAAATCCCAGGTGTCTAGACTAGACTGAGAAGCTAAAATACATCCCTGAAGCAGAGAACTCTCTTCTGTATTGTTGCCAAGAATGCTACATTGTAGCACTCAGGTAATTACCAGGTGTCTCCACTTGGGGACATTCTTACTTGTTTATACCTGTTCCTTGTGATACCAAGTGCAGTGGCATATACGGTGCATCCTAAATGCAGGAAAGGGCAGGTAAGGTTTATGAGAAGTGTTTTGGTGGTTTGGGTTTGTTTTGTTTGTTTTTGCTTTTTGTTTCTAAAAAAAAAAATAGCTCTCTGAAATCTTTCCATGGGAAGTTAGTGCAAATGATTGATGTCTTAGAATTAAGGAGCTCTATTCTCATGAATAAAGATAAAAATTTAAAAATAGAATTAAATAGAAAAATAGGATCTTAGAGCATGATTTTAAGGAGAAATGCCAACACTTTAATTATTTCCAATAGTTCAGAATATTTTACAGATAATGGCAATGGTTAATACAGCTAACAAACGACGACTTTTGAATATATGTATCCTTCAGTGTAACTTGTTTGGTTACTTTTTTAGCAAGAACAATTTATGATATTTAAATACCTCTGAAAGATGGAGTTTAGCTTTCTAGTATTTTGTGAAAACAAAAGAAGTAATAGAAGTTTAATCATTTCTTATATTTATATGCTTACGGAAATATGGATAAAAAACCAAAATCAGAATTCATAGTGAAATGTTGGATGCTTACTGGTTTTCATAGTTGCTTCAGGCTGTTTCCATTTTGTTGTTACTAAAATTATAATTTTTTCACTAACACAGTCCAAAAATCAATACATTTAAATGGAATATTGTGCCATTTATGGATTATTTCCGTGATCAATTTTTTTTCCTCACTTTTTGATGACTTGCTGAAATAGATTTAAAAGGATTCCATATTGCAAAGAGTTTGAGCAAGCTTCATTGGACCTCAGATCAATGTCTCAGAGGGTTTTTTTTAAAGACTTTCAAGAGAATATATTACTTTTAACAAATTATTTATCACTGATAAAGTTCTTTTGGCATTAAATGATGTACATCATTGTTCAAATATTAATGGTCTTAATTGATGAGATTTAGAAAGCTTGTATATGAATGACTGAACTTGGCTTATTCATAGCCAGTTTAAAACTTGTGACCAATCCATTTGCAAAATATATTCAAAGAAACAGCATAATCTTCAGCTCTATAAAATCCCCATTCCTTGTGCTGAGTAGATTTATCTTCATAGTTGAGAAGAGAATAATTGGAGAATAATAAAATATCAGGCACTATTAATAGATTCTACCTTTCCAGACTTCTTAAATAATATTTGAGGATTTTGAGATAGTAGATAATTAATGCCTTTGTTTTCAGGTGAAACAGTATCGCTTTAATTAAATCAAGAGGGAGATGTATTTATCCTTTAATTATTATTCTAATATGTAATCATTTTTCATTTTAACTCCATAGCATCAAAGTAATATTCCAAATTGGATATATCTAAGCCTCTCTCATGTTTTTCTTAATATTCTGTGGTCAACCTAATCTTTGCTTGTTTATCACTGTATATGATTGAAGGAAAAAATAACTTGCCAATTATGAAATCAAGTAGGCAATAAATTGGTATGCTTGGAATAACATAGAATTTTAGAGGAAAAGACATTTTCCGCTATTGTACCAAATAATGAGAGTGGAAGACATTGCCCTGACTTAAATCCTCTTTTAATCTTGAGCAGAAGAGAATAATTAATCATTAAAGCTTCTTTACCTGGTGCCAGTTGTTTGAAAAACTATGCCTATTTAAACTCACATGAATTAACATGAAATCCAGTAACTTTTTAAAGCCCATTTTATGCTTGCTTAATGTTAATTAACATGGAATTTTTTTTTTACCCTGCTATTCTGTGCTAATTGTTTTATACTAAGATTCAACAAAGTAGTCAGCTTCAACCAAATTTATTTGGGACTTTTATTTATTTACCAAAAATCTGTATATAATCTATTGATAGTAATTGCTACTCTACTTAACATCTTCAGAGCCCAGGAATTAGATCAAAGGACTACTACTACTTATTTAGTGGGGGGGGGGGAATCCATTCTTGGTTATCTTCCTTCATCTCCATAATTCTGAACCAGTAAAACTACAGTTCCCACCATGCCTGACCTAATGTATACACCTCTTCACCTGTCACACAGCTGGCAGCTCCCTGACTCTCTCCTCCAGTGACACGATGGGTTGCATTAGCCAGCAAGAGCTGGGTTTTTGTTAATTGCTTAGCTTTGCAGTCTGTCCCATGCTATAGCAGGATTAGGGCCGTGATCTCATTGAAAAAGGATGGCATGCATGTTAATAGCTGTCTGCTGTATAGCTTCCAAGTGCACTGTCTGGTAGTTGGCTTGTCCTGTTACAAAGAAATGGTAAGTGTGAGAATCCTCCAGAAGATTAAAAAGTATATGGGGGTAATAATTAAAAGAATATAGTGAGCCTTAATTCTAGAGTGAGCTAGCTAGCTATCTGCTGTGAGCTCTGCGTGAGCATCGGGAAGGGCATCCGGCCAGTAAACACTCAGCTCCATTCTGTTACCCTGACTCCACCCCAATGCAAGGGATTACAGGTTCATGAAAAGAAAAGAAAAATTCTAGAGTGTGACATTCTGCCTAATTCCGAGGTCTTAACTGGGCTTTTCAAGCTCTGTGAAGCCGGTCAGCCTCTGAGAGCAAAGGAAAGATCCAAGAAGAAGCAGTGGACACCAGGTTACTGACTTCTATTCCCCATCCCTCTGGGTCTTTCTTAAAATAGTCTGAAAAATAAACTTTCTTCAGAAGCTCTCATGTTGGATCTGCATAAGAAGCTTATCCCACTGATGAGTCCAAACATTGTCCTTTCAAAGAGATGGGTGTGATGCTCATGGGTAGGATTGTAATAAGCAAACTGGGCATACGCGGGTTAAAGAGAACAGAAAATAACAAAATGTATTAAATCCTAAAACACCGCTCTGGAGTTTTCATTTGCAGATCTGAACTGATGTTAACCTTGTATTCTAGCTTGAATTTTAAAAAATGGTTCCAAAGTAGCAAACTATCTAAAAGTTGTGCCTCCTTTTTTCTTTGGTTCTCTCTCAGAGATTTCTTGAGGCCAAAAGGTACTTAGCCAATGTCCACTCTCTGGTTCTTGCTTCAAGTGAGAGACAGCCTGGAGATTGGAATTGAAATGATAAAAAACAGATGTTCTTGGATCATTCACAGCAGGATTATATAGAATAAAATCTATAGGTATACACTTTGTTAGACATTGGTCATATGCCACATGTATTCATTGCCAGCACTCATTGTAGAAGTATTTTTTCAAAGGAAACCTCTCATATATTTTTAAGATACAAAATGGTCTGTTCCAGTTTCTCTGTTTGCATGACTGAGCCAAAAATTCACAGTGCAGAACATAATGAATTGATAAGGAAATTGATGAAGACAATTGCAAAAAGAAAAAAAGTTTATTTTCCCCCATCATTTATTTTAGATGAGTCTCTCCAGAGCCAGACTTGGAAACTTTTCCTGTAGTGTATCTATGTAGAGCAGAAAATAGCAACTATTTCATGGCTGAGTCCATGCAATCTGTTCAGCTACTTAAAGCTGAGTTATAGATCTAGCAGCTGTTTTGCAGAAGCTAAGCTTGGTTAGATTTATTTGTGGCTAAGTGTGTTGTGCAAACCCTGTCTATTTGGACAGTAACTACAAAAACATGAAAAGTTTGAGTAAGAAAATCAAAAGCATCTTGTGAATTCAGCCACTGTGTTCCCTAAGTAAGGTAGCTGTATGAACCACCAATCCCTGTTATCATCAAATGACACAATTGTGTGTATTTCAACTACCTTTATTTGGCAGGACAGTTGGTATTTAACGCTTCAGTTATTCCCCTTCTAACATTTTTTTAAAAATTTTATTTGCTCATTTTATGTCATTATTTATACTCGTCCTTTAAGGTTCAACAACCCAAGTTGCTGTGATTTAAAAAAACTGCAAGAGAGTGTAATAAAAGGAACTTCTATTCTTCAAAATTTAGCTCCACCTACAGAATTTCCAAAAATGAAATATCCCTAGAGCAGGGGTGTCAAACTCAATTTCATTGAGGGCTGCATCAGCATTGTGGTTGCCCTCGGGGGGGGGGGGATGTGTGGCCAGGGTGGGTGCGGCCTACTGGGTGGTGTGGATGGAGTGGGGGTGGCCTACTGGATGGGCGTGGCCAGCTCTACATCATTCGTGTCAAGGGAGCCTGTGGGGGCCTTGGCAGGAGTGGGACAGATCTGAGGGTCTCTGGCAGAAAGGGGTGGGACCAGGGCAGAGCTCATCAAGCCGGGTATGTGACGTAGGCAAGGGCCATTTGCTGGCCATTTCCAGACAATGGTGGATTTCTTCATTCCTCACAAAGGGTGACACTTCCCCAGCATGCACCCAGGGGGTGGGAC